CTATAGATTGAAACATTAACTACAGATGATAATTTTTGGTCATGTTTAAAAAAAATATTAGAAACTGCTAAAAAACCAATTATACTTACATCAAATAGTCGAAGTAATCCAGAAGATGCTATATTTAATCTATCAAAAATAGGAAATTATGAAATGATTCATCTTGAATCAAATGAATCAGTTAGTATTAAATTTTTTTTTAAATTAAATTCGATTTTTGTTTTTATTTTCTTAGGAACTTATTTATTGTTTTCTTCGATTAATACTTTTAATTGAAATGATTGAAATACCTTTACTTGATGATCTGATAAATATTTTTCAATCTTGTTCATGTGATTTACGACAAAGTTTATTAACACTTCAATTTCTCACACAATCATCTGACGTTTCTTCAACTTGTACTAATAAAAAACCTTCAATTAATAATAATAATAAATCCAAATTTCAATCTTCATCATTATTTGATACAATGTATTATTCTTATCTTTGCGAACAATGGGATGAATCAATACTTAAAACACTCTTTGATGATCTTACAAAAAAATATACTTCTGAATATGAACAATCTCATCTTTTATTAGAAAATCATAGTAAAAATAATTCCAAAAAGTAAATTTAATTTTTATATTTATTCATATTTATTTATTTTTATAACTATTTTAGAATAGAATTGTACGATACATTTAAAATGTTTATGCAAGAACAAGAAATTGATAGTACCACAAATCGTTCAGCTTTTTATCTTGATTATCGACCATATATTAGACAAATGTGTCAAAATGAACAAACTCGAGCAGCGGAATCATATTCCAATCGACGGTATATTTTAATCTTTTTTCAATATTCTGTCATAAAGTAAAACTTATCCTCAATGAATACTTATGAGAGTATGTAAAAAGAACAGTATTCACTATACGAAGGTTCACATTTAGAGGTGTAGGTCGGTAGGGTAATCGGAGGCACAGATTTGACATTTTAAGGTTGCACAGTGGTGAGGACTCGAAAAATTTGAGAATTTCGAATACCACTCGCGGCGGCTGCTCGGTCATACGGCTTACACCTCTCTTCACATTCATCAAAAACAACTTCGCGAAACGATAAAAAAGAGTTCAGTATGAAAGTTTCTACTGTAATTCGAAAACAGTTTCGATCACATTTTCACTCAAGAATGAAACATAAAACAAGCAAGTTTTCAAATAGGAGAATCCGACAAGGAAATTTTGAAATACAACATACTCCGGTAGGTGTATATATCAGCGTCGAAACTGAGAAAATAACTTTACGTAAAATATAGATTAGTCCCGAAATCGTCGTTATATTCTGATTCTAGTTGGTAATCTGTGTTAAGACCGTAGCTTCATTAGTCTTACAATCAGCAATGGAAAAGTTAATTTCAAAATCATAGAGTTATGAGTAGTTTTCCATAAAATCTGTTTTTGTATAATTCGGAAACTTGTCGATCCATCAAATTAGATCATTTGAAATATGAATATGGCATCTAAGTTTGAACGCTGACATGTTCGAGATTTTTCTTGTTTCATTATAAATTTTAATATGAATATTTTTTTTTAGTCTTCGGCATTGTCTTGGTTTTCGTGGTTGTTCATTACAATGGTCCGATTTTGCAATTCTATCGAATGGACTTGATTAATATATATATTTTTTTACAACGAGTATATTTTGTTCTTTAATTAGATAATATTTTTTTTTCGTCTTAAAAATAATAACAGTGTCAGATAGATTGTTTGATTCTATTTATATATAAGAGTCTTTAAATAATATAATTATGAAAATTTTCTCATCTTTTTCTTTGTAGATTATAAAGATTTAATTATGGCATTCTTCCCAGGTAAATTTCATTCTTTTCTTTTTTCGTTTAATAAATATATATATATATATTATTTTAGGAGCAGCAAAAGATCAGATGCGTGCTGATCAATTAGTGAAACGACGTCAACAAGAACATGAACAAATGGAAATAAAGAAGAAAAAAATTGAAGAAGAAAATCGTATGCAAGCTATTGAAGAAAAATTTAAATCACATTATGATGCTGTTGAACAAATGCTTAAAACTGATACAGTTGGTTTAGTTTCATTAGATGAAATGAAAAAAAAACAAGAAGAAATTATTCTTGCACGTGAACAACAATTAGCTCGAGAAAAAGAAGCTAAACTTAGTGAATCAATGAGAAATAAATTAAATAATCGAAAAGATACTGGTGCACATCAACGACCCAATAAATTATCATTTGCTGATGAATGGGATGAGGAAGAAGAAGAACATGACAATGAACCAGTTATAAAAAAACAACCGGTGAAAATTGAAGAAGTAAAATATCAGTATTTTCTAGAAAATCTTTGTACATATACATTTCTTTTTTAGAATATAGCTACGGATGATAATTCATTATCTGAAGATGTACCAAAAAATGAAGATGTTGATAGTAATGATAGTGTACCAGAAGCAGAACTAACATCTGCTGAGCTTGATCGACTTGTTGCTGCGAGTAAAAAGAAACGTCTTGGTAAAAATCCAGGTAAAAAAAAGATATTCTTATTTAAATAGAAGATTATTCGATATCGTCTTTTTTTTCAGATGTTGATACAAGTTTTTTACCAGATAAAGATCGTGAAGAAGAAGAACGAATATTACGTGAAAAACTTCGTCAAGAATGGGTTGAAAAACAACAAAAATTAAAAAATGAAGAAGTTGATCTTGTATTTAGTTATTGGGATGGTTCAGGACATCGTCGTTCAATGCGAATAAAAAAACGTATGACAATACAAATGTTTCTTTCTAAAGCACTTGAAATACTTCGTCGAGAAAATATGTTTAATGAATTAAAATCAGCATCTGTTGATCAACTTATATTTGTTAAAGATGATGTTATTCTTCCACATCATTATTCATTCTATGATTTTATTGTTACACGTGCTCGTGGTCGTACTGCAGTTTTATTTACATTTACAGAATCACTTAAATTAAATACAATTATTGAAGTACCAGCAACAGCTACGACAACAACTGAATTAAATCCAACAGATTTAACAACAGCATCATCACCATCTGGTGAAACTCAAACAACAGGAGGACCAAATTCTCATGCAGGAAAAATATGTTTACGTTCATGGTATGAACGAAATAAACATATCTTTCCTGCATGTCGTTGGGAACCATTTGATCCAGAAAAACGTTGGACTGCTCATGAACCACCAAAAAATCGTTTTTGTGTTAAATAATATTTAGTCTCTTTTTTCTTTCTGTATAAATATATCAACACTTTATTTTACTGTTAATATAAAACAAAGAAAAGATAAATATGAAAAATATTTTGATTTGGTTTCTCTTTTTTCGTTTATTTTATTTGCTTTAATGCATACAAACCTACTTTGTCTACTGATTATTCTGTTGGTTTGTCATATAAAAATGAGTACAACACAACCAACATCATCGTCAACATCACCTATTGTTGTGAATACATGGCCATTTGTAAATGCAACAAGAAATGCTTTTACTAAACTTATAACACCTGGTGCAACATGTTTAGATGCTGTTGAAGTTGGTTGTCGAACATGTGAAGACGAACAGTGTGATGGTAGTGTAGGATGGGGAAATCATCCAGCTGAAGATGGAGAAACAACCTTAGATGCTCTTATTATGGATGGACGTACAATAACTGCTGGTGCTGTTGCAAAGTATATACGTTTATTGTTAATTAGTCGACTAAAATAAGGAGTATACTGACTAGATATATCAGTAACAAACAATTTGGTATCTTAGATATGATATTTTGATACATATTTCACTAAATTTATTCGTTTCTAGTGAGAAAAATGGATGATATAATAATCATTATGTTCTATATATTAAAATTATTTCTTCATTGTATTTTAGTTTACATCGCATTAAAAATGCAGTTGGTGTAGCTCGTGCTGTTTTGCAATATTCATCACATTCATTATTAGTTGGTGAGAGTGCAACTAACTTCGCACTTGAAATGGGTTTCAAAGAAGAAGATCTTCATAGTAATGCATCCATAAATCTTTGGAATCAATGGAAAAATGGAAACTGTCAACCGAATTTTCGACGTAATGTACAACCAGATCCAGCTACTAGTTGTGGCCCATACAGACCTAAACTAGAAAATAGTAATATCTCTATTGATATATATATATGTATAATATTGAATTTTATTATTTTTACAGTTAGTAACAAGCCAACATGCCATCAATTACCAGCTCATGAACATGATACCATTGGTATGATAGCTTTAGATTCAAATGGTGATATGGCAGCAGGTACTTCAACAAATGGTCTTCAATTTAAAATTCCAGGTCGTGTTGCTGATTCAGCTGTAATTGGTAGTGGTGCTTATGTTGATAATGAAATAGGTGGTGCTTGTGCTACAGGTGATGGTGATGTTATGCAACGTTTTGTTCCTTCTTATCATGCTATACAATTAATGCGACAAGGTATTCCACCTGATGAAGCATGTTCAGATGCAATAAAACGTATTGCTAAATATAATCCAACTTTTACTGGTGCTGTATTAGCACTACATAAAAATGGACAACATGGTGCTGCTTGTCATGGTATGGATACATTTCCTTATTCTGTTATGCAACAAGGTTGGGTAGATCCAAAAGTCTATCAAATTCCTTGTTTTAAATCATAACTGATTGTTTTATTTTATTTTTTTTTTCTTTTGATTTTTAATTGATGACAAAAGATTAAACGTAATTTATTTTTCTTTTTATTACTAATTGATTCCAGATAAACAAAAAATAAATGAATATTATTCAACAATCTTTAAATATTTATTGTAAATCTTATATGAAATTATATGTACGTTCTATAAATATAAATATAGTAAATTCAAAAAAAAAATCTATACCAACTGTTAGTTTTGTTGGTGAACGTTCATATCTTTATCCATCTATTTATTGTTGGGGTTATATTGGAACAGGAGCATTAGGTGTTTTTGATTTTATTAATAAACAACCCAATCCAAAACATACAGATTCACAACAACAAACTCGTCTTCGTCGTTCAATACCTTATAGACATCCATTCTCTTATGAACATCGAATAAAAATTAATCGTATAGCATGTGGAAATGGTTTTACATTATTTTCATCAAATACATTAAAATATGATAAATTATGGGCATGTGGTCTTAATACAGATAGTCAATTGACTTATTTTAAAGATCGGAATCATCCAAAAGGTTTTGGTGATTATATAATTGTACCGAAAATAATTCATCTACCTATTAAACATCCAAGATCATCAAGAATTATACAAATAGCAGCTGGTAGAGCACATTCAGTTATTTTAACAGATAATTCAGGTTAGTTGAATATATATATTTCATTCTTTGACGATCATTGTAACTTTAAAAAAATCGAAATTCTAAAAATAGATTATGAATGACAAGAAAATTAGATACGCAAAAATATTGTTTTAAAATTTAAGTGCCTAATAAAGTAAAATAATAGAAAAAAACGACGTCATTTATCGTATGTAATGCATAGTGAGTGCTTTTTCCTACTCAGTACTTCAAATTTAAGAATGTAATGACTGTAAAAAACGTTTCTCAGAAGTAATATGACCGACTCAGTACAAATAAACTTCAATAAAAAAAAAGTTCTTATAAGAGCATGATTATATTGTATATTAATTCTGTATATATAATTAAAATTATTCTTTTTTTTAAGGTCTCTTTTCATTTGGTAATAATGCATTTGGTCAATGTGCTCGTCAAGTAGTACCTGATGAAGTGTATAAGAATAGTATGTTAATTCATTCATTTAATATTGATTTAAATGAAAATGATGATAAAATAATCGATATTGTTTGTGGTCAAGATCATACTTTATTTCTTACTGAAAAAGGTCATGTTTATTCGTGTGGATTAAATACTGATGGACAATTAGGTGTTGGTCATTATGAATGTGTATCAAGACCGGAACGTGTTCGTGGTGATATTGAACACGAACATATTGTTCAAATAGCATCCAAAGGTGATTGTGTATTAGCTTTAAATAAAACAGGTGATGTATTTGGTTGGGGAAATAATGAATATCGTCAATTAGGAATCTCAAATGATCCAATAGATTCTCCAGCATCATTACAATGTGGACAACCACGACAACTTCGTTTTCGTAATGGATTTTCATTAAAAAATATTAAATGTATTGCTGCTGGTGGTTCATTATGTTCAGCTGTTGATCATCAAGGTAAATTATATATGTGGGGTTTTGGTTTACTTGGTTTTGGTCCTAAACATACAACAATAGATGTTCCTCAACAAATGCCTATGGAATTATTTGGACAAAATGAATTTAATGCCGATATTAAAATTGATTATGTTACATGTGGTTTACTTAGTACAGCCGCAATAACAAACAATGGTGAATTATTTATGTGGGGAAAGAATCGGTATGGTGCATTAGGTGTTGAATTCGATGAAGACGCGCCGATGCCTATGCGTGTCTTTGTACCAGCTCGTGTTACATCCGTAGCACTTGGACCTGATCATACATTTGCTTTATGTAAAGGTTATGTATAAACAATAAATTTTGGTTTAAATAAAAAACAACAAATTTTACATATACAGAATATACTCTAAGACCTGTACAATTGAATAAATATTAATAACAAAATTTAGTTTCACCAGGCATTGATATTATATGATATATAAGAATCAAACAAATATTATACAAGGCATCCATATTAAATTTGAACTTACAACAGCTGTTTATTGTCTGTAAAACTTGATAAAAACAAATAAGAGCATTTCACATTTAAGCATTGAGTTCATATATAATTAAACGAGTATTTTAAATCTTTAACAAGAACTTTCAAAAAAATGTATCAAGATTAGTACTTCATAATCTACGTGGGAAGTATTAAAGATAAGACAATACGATAGATCAGTAATATAAACCTTCAATAAGTAGATTTACTGGAATAATTTTTTTTTAATACTATTTACAGAGTAGAGAAAATATTTACGTCATCAACACTGAAATATGATAAATAAATTATTCTTTATTCACCTGCTGTTATAATCATCTATGCATAAATAATTTTTCTTAAGTAATCTAAAATTTCATCAATGCTGATGGCACTTCTAATCATAAAATTATACGTTAATTCATCAGACAATATCAAATAACAAATTTTATTCTATAAGCTTTGATTTATAATTAGTTAAATGGATACAAAACTATATCAGATTAACATGAGTATTTAAAAAAGAAAAGAGAATATCCGTCTTTCGTAGGAAGTGCAATAACAAATATATTTTATTTTAAAAAGAAAACAACGTTCAAGTGAATGTGAAGTAAGTAGTTTTTTATACTAATGAATATATAAACGTGTTACGTATTGTCTCTAAATAATTATTTTTTCTATAAGTGTGCGTACACGATCTTTCGCCAATTAATATATCAATGAGTAGACATAAAAAGAAATGTTTTTTTTTTCTAATTATATATTTGAATGATATTAATTATTTCTATTAATAAGAAAATAAAATCAGTATCTCATGTGAATATCCGGAATATTGAATAGATATAATAATATTCTAATTAAAAAGGATATTTAATATTTGCTTTCTATTATATCATGATTGTAATATTTTTGTCTTCATTTTTTTTTGTCTATCAACACTTCTCACTATTTCTTTCTTTTTTTCTCTCTTGCACTTGTAGAACTTAACAAATGTTTTTCTCTCTTTTTTCTCGCTCTCTCTCAATTCTTTAGCTGATATATGAACTGTAAAAAAAAGAACTCACGGTAGTTTTTGCATATTTCTCATATATTTCTACATCCTACTCAAAAAATCTTTTAGATATTTCATTCTCATTTTAATTCAGCATAAACAATGTCCTTATTATTTCACATTCGTTGTATATTATTATTCTTTATCTTTATTCAATTTGCTTCTGTTTATGAAACCTATGCATATGATATTAATGTAAGTAAATAAGATCTATTCTTATTATTATTTATTTAGAATAATTTTCTTGTTTAGCATCCAAATTTAATTAAGTCATCTTTCAATCATGAATTAAATCCATCGATAGAAAATAATAATGATGATATACTTACAATAAATGATGACAACAACGACGACGACGACTGGAATTTAAACTCTAAACGATCAATGACATTGCAAGCTGTACCACAACGTCGCAATTCTCGACCACATTGGAATCCATTAGTTGCAGCT